CAACCTAGCTGGTTACTCGCACTCAGAACGCGATTAATCATTTTTAGATCAACACTTTTGATATCTTAACGGTCTGTCTGGTCAAATTGTTTTTCGATCCGCCTAGGATTTGAGCCTTATTCAACAGGTATTTGATGATTTTGCCTAATTTACCCCCATCCTTAGGGAAAATGCTACAATTTTCTCCAAAAGGTTCCTTTGCTTAGATCGTAAATACTAATTTTCGAATAAAAAAAGACAGTAAATAAACAACATTGACAGAAGTCTTGCTTGTATGCTATAATTGAGGGGGATAAAGAAGATCTTTAAATTATTTCAGGGAAACCCATTCAATGTTGGATACCACAGGAATTCACAAGAGGCTGGGAGGAGTATGCAGAAAATTACTGTTGGGTGGCGAACACTTACTTCTCCGCATTGTCCAAAAAACTGCCCTTAGTACCCGATAGACGAGCCAGTCATCTAGTGTACTACCAATGGGCACCAATCGTTCTTGCAACTCAGGCATTGTTGTTCTACCTACCCTGTCTTCTTTGGAAGGTGGGAATGCGGAATTCCGGCTTTTCCGTGCACCGAGTACTCCAGTTAGCCGCGGAGTCAAATGACCTCGTCCCAGAGGTGGCACAGAAAACTGTGCATGTAATGGCAAGATACCTCGAAACGTGTATTCATCGGCAAAAAATGTATAGGTAAGAGTTAATTATATTTATTAACGTCTAAATCGAGTCAAGATTGTATTAAAACATGTTGGAAAGAGAATTTTAAACTCCAAAAAAGTTTAAAAGAGTAAAAATTTCTTATTTATATTGTACTGCATGTTATTAGCCATAGCCACTGATTCAATAGATAAGTAAAGCGCTTCTAGCCGTTGAAAGGCGAATATGTTTAAGTAGCAACATCCCAAAGAAATGTCACAATTTGGACAATCGGTATAATTAATAAAAGAATAATTATGCAATAAATATTTCAAGGGTTTTATATTCTTTTGTGACGTAAAAAATGAATAAATAATTATTAACTCCTTTGCCACATTCCTTTAAATTGGAAATGACTATTTTTCAATTGTTAATAGATTTTTAGCAGTTAAGAAATCGTACGAAAGGATTATATTATCGACCTTGTAAATGTGCTTTAGTAATATTGCGATAAATCCATGATCTATTTCCCCATAATATTTAGAAGTAAAGGAACGGAATGAATTTGTTTATCATAATTATAAAGCTTTATTGCCTATAAGTATTAATTAGTCACATTTTAATAATGAATAATTATATTTGCTTTATTCAACAGTAGTTTACTGTAAATTGTAATAGGATTTGAAAATTTAATGACCAGCTTATATCTTTTGCTTTTTATTCATTTTTTAATTTTATTACTTTATTATTTATTATTAGTTCTTTTGAATCTTGTTTCATACTGATAAAAGTAACTTACGAATTCTGATCTTGAATTCTATGTAATCAACTGAAGCAGAACACACTAACTGAAATTACTAGAAAATTATGCGATGATTTTATTAATTAAGTAGTAAAGTTTTGATTCCCAAAACGCCTCGTTCCAAATGATTGGTTTCAATATAAAAACGGGATTGCTGTGAAAGAATTTTAAAGAGACTAATTATAACCCCCAACTTCCTTTGTGTCACAACTCATTAGTTTTACCACGATTCCCTGAAGAGCCAAACGTAGAATGTGAGCTGACACTAAGATTTATAATTAAATTTGCAGATAAATTCATCCTTCAAGATCTTGATGGACAGATAACTTTATATTGAATTTCGGAAGGCTAATTACATTACGGCGATTTATGCAAGAAAGAAAGTAAAGTTAAAATTTTTCTTAAATTAATGAAATAAGTGGTGTTCACTGTGTTCAAATATTTCCGCTGTGTAAAATCACATTCTTTTTTTCTATTACGCGATATATATCATAAATAATGCCAAAAAACCATGACGGTAAATCAATGTATATTTCTATTAATAAACCATTACATTAGAAATTGGCAATATGATTATTATTCCTTTTATTATAAGCTGTTAATGCGTGCTTCCGTGCAAATATTTCGACAGCATTATTGAAGAAAAATCAATTTCGAGTAATATGACCTTCAGAAAAAATATTAACAAATAAAGGCCAAAATCATGCCAGAGTGCAAAAAATAACATATCATTTACAATAAGACCCTTCTGAATGCCTCGCAACACATTGCTCAATCATATTTATTTATTTATTTATAACAAATGGCAGGCGTTTTGATAGTTATCATTAGCACTTTAGTTGACTTAAAGCGTTTTGATGGTTATCATTAGCCCTTTATTTGACTTCTGGTGGCTTCACAGAGGGGAGGAACATCAAAGTGAGAAAAATTCAAGAGGGGGAACTTCACAGAGGGGAGGAGATCAAAGTGAGAAGAATTCAGGAGGGGGAATAGAAGGGTGCGTCAAAGATGTATAAGAAACAGACACAAAGGCTCAGAAAGAGTAAGATGGGTAGTGGTAGAGGTCGAATATGACATACAGTAGGGGTGATGGTTGTTTGAAGTGAGAAATCAACTGCCGATTAAAAGACTTTTTTGCCGCATGAGTATACGTTGCTTAGGGTGCACCACGTGGAGGTAAGTCTATCGCACACCCCCATTGCTCAAACATAAGTGTCACTTCGACACATTATTTTCTGTGGTTTACAATGCATGACTTATCGCAAAATGTCAGTAATCTATTAATTCATAGTTATTAAAATTAAAGCTCATTACGTGATAATCCAAAATGAAATTCCAAACATTTTCTTTTTACTTTTCCCAGGCGTAAATTCCAAGTTTTATGATTAATTTAAATTGACACGCTGAGTATTCTTAGCCATATTTTTTCAGACTTTTAATATAGGTTTAATCATTCAATAGATAATTATATTAGACTGAAATTACCACAGTCTTACTGAAATACACTTTGCACGCAGAAGAGAATTAAAAACTGCACTTTCCAAAAGCATCCAGTAAAGTACTGGAGTAGACGTTTTAGCAAGTTTACTTACACCGAGGTTTTAAGCATATACATATGGGGAAGTGCACTAAGTGAGAAGATTCCATACATAACCGCTAAAACGAACCAAAACCACTTACTTTAAATGTGCCTTCCACAGCCCACTTCTCCGCTCACTTTGTCACACAATGATAGGGGCTTTTTTTACGTGACAAGCCCTAAACGAATAGGTGGTTATGATACTTAAAATGCACACTCATATATTCTCCATTGGTGAAAGTAGTCCTGCCCAAAAGAGAGAGGATAATTGTATTTCTGCTATTTTTTCGAGCTTTTAATAATTGCTTATCTTTTCGCTTTTTCTCCATAAGGTAAAATAAGCTGCACTAAAGGAGAAATGACTTATTTTACAAATGGACGTAATTAGTTTCCGGGTGATTCATGCCGTTCTGATAAGTAGAATGATATAAATTAGCATCTGTTTCGTTTGCGAAGATATCTAATTTCAGTGTTTGCAACGTTTCTCCACTAATTAATTTATTTCAAAATTACCCTAGTTCAGTTAACATTCTTTCTTGCAAATATAACGAATGTATTCTTTTTTCGTAATAAAATGTTGGGCAATTTTTTTCTCGGTGGCATAACATTTCTAGTTCATTATTGAGCAGAAAAGGCAAAATAATTATCGAGTCGATTTTAGGCTGTTTATTTTGTTAATTTAGTTTTTTGTGTTTAATTATATTATTTTCAATGACGTTTCGATATTTTATGACTGTTGGCTAATTAAAAACTCGTAAAACAAGGAAATGAAAATTTCTTAACATCTGTGCAAATATATACAAATGCCATTTATGAGTTAGATGGAACTGGATTGAAGTTTAAGTTAACATTGGAATTATATACATTTTCGAATGAGGATTATTTAGACATAGATTCCCTGGACATAGGGAAAAAACTTGAGAAATAAAAAAGAAGCTAGGTTTCTTGTCACATGATCAGGAATTCGTAAACCTGATTGTGATCTGCCGGAAATTGATTGATTAAGGTATAAATAAAGTTTGATTAGGCGAAAATGAATTTGATAAGTATCGCGCAGTTGGCAAACTCAAACTCTGACTGGAGTGAAGATTGATCGCATCGAATTCCTGAAAATTTATTTCCAAAAAATTATTATAATATATATATTTATTATAATATGCTTTTGTCCTCATATTTAGTGTTTATGCAATATTTAATAATTTAAAGTTGTCTCAGGTGAAAAATTTCATTCAATCATTAATTTAATTAAAGGGAGATATTTACTTGAATTTTGTTTTTTTATTCGGCTGATAACTCTTTAATTGACATCATGTCATGTCCAGTTTTCTGACTGGGAGAAACATGCCCGCTTTTGTGCAAGTAGAGCTTTGCCCAATTTTAATTAAATTGGGTTTATTTGACTTGAGAATAAAAGATTATTCAATGTATCTTGCATTACAAAAAATAATAATGATGTCACCATCACTTCGTTTCCTATGAAAAAGTTATAATAATACCTATATTTTAAAATTTTATTTATTATAAAATCAAGTGCTTTTGTAGATTTTTGAGAATAGAAATTATAGTAAATGTGCATTAGATGTAATTTTACCAGCTATACTCCAAATACACATAGAGATAATATTATTTGAACTCTAATTACAAAGTACTATCTTCGTTAATGCATCTCATATGAAAAAATGTAAAAACTGCTTTAGCAAAATTGAACTTCATTATTAGAAAAAAGGAATTTTGGTCTTATGAGAATAATATAATTTTTTTCCTTTTTTAGTGAAATAATTCTAAAATTGAGCTTTTGTCAAAGCAAATAAGTGAAAAATACGTTTTTTTGTTAATTTTACTCAAATTTCACAAATCCTTTGAATTATATTTTGAATAATATTCAATTCTACAATAAACTATAGGAAATGGATTAATAAATTGAGCAAACATTTTTAAATTAGTGGACATTTTTGAAAGTTAAAGGTAATTATATTTTATCATTTATTTATATCAAATGGCAGGCTTTATGATATTTATCATTAGCCCTTTAATTGACTTCAGGCTTCATAGAGGGGAAGGAACATCAAATTGAAAAATTCGAGAGGGGGGGGGGGGACAGAAGAGTGTATCAAAGATGTAAGAGACAAACACAAAGGTAGAACAAAGGTGAGGTGAGTACTGTGAAATAGTCGAATATGGCCTAGAGTGAGGTGATGGTAGTTTGAAATGAGAAGTCAACTGTGAGTTAATAAACTTGGAAATGAGAAGTCAACTGTGAGTTAATAAACTTGAGTATGAGTATACGTTGCCCAGGGTGCACCACGTGGAGGTAATTCTATTGCACACCCCATATTTTATCATTTAAATATGCATTGATATAAGATTAAAGCCACAATACTTCTCGTCTTTTCTCCTACAATTCGTACAATTCCCTTTGGGGTGAGAAATTTTAGGCTCTTTAATGCGAATGCAGAACGTAATTTGAATTGAAATGAACCGTTATTCAAGTTCCTCATTGCCACAGGTAGGATTTTACGCCAAACTTTAATTCAACACACACACCTAAAAAAACACGAATCGTGCAAGGGACGAATGCAGCAAACATTTGCTCACTTAAACAAATTAATTTAGCATGTTTTTCTTTTACCACCAAACCGATATAAAGTTTAGAGATTACTTCAATTACTTAATTGTCGTCACGCTTAACGCAATTCAATTTATTGGATCAACAGGCGCATTTCCTCCCTTAATGATAGCAAGAGACCATAGTTACTTCGATAATGCATTCAATGAAATCGCGTTTGTTACCTATCAAGTCAATTTATATAGGGCTTCGATAACGTGCTTTGAATAATTTCAAGAATACACTTCCATTTGGTGCTATTCGGCATATTAATGTGACCAGTGTTTCCCAATATTCCGCTACCCCAAGGAGCGATGTAGCAGACTTGATCGATTTTTGTTATTAAATAAAAGGAAATTAATTCTCAAAGCTGCCATTTGATGCAATTTCTATCCCATTGTATTAAATCTAATCTCCTTCCATCGAACTGCTTCTAGAACTCACAATAACACAATTCCCTACAGGATGGCTTAAAAATAATTTTAGAGGCAAATTCTTTTAATTATACCACTTCTTTCCTTTTACGAATCTATTAATTTTCTATTCTGTTTCTCTTTTGTGAATAATTTTTAAAAACTAAGCACCTGTTTGCTCAATAACTTAAGTTGTCCAGGATCAAATGTTTATCAGTGATTGACAATAAGAATTTTTCCACGTTTGGCTTTGATAATATGTAATACATTGGTAAATTAAGATATTTGTCAAGGTAACTTTGTTGGGCATTCTACTTCATGCGATTACAGTTCCAGTATTTGGAATAATAAATGACAAATGAATGTAAATATTATTTACTACGTACCAACTTGAGGATTCTTGCTTTTTCAAACGATTTTCACATTTGTTTAACCTGTTTGAATATCTCACGGTGGAATTAATAATACTGCATTACATGCTCTTTTTTTATTCCACAACCTCACATTTTGAGCTAAAAATTAATTAATAAAATTAAATTTGCTTAAAAAATTAGTAAGGTTAAACAAATATTTTTTACGTAAACGCTGCGCTTTTAGTAAGATGGATTTTAGTTGTATAACCTTAGATGAGGGTATCAAAAAGATATTTTTAATAGTAAGAAAAATTCATATTCATATTTGAACTCAATGACTTATTCCAAAGAAAAAAATAACAAAAAAAGATAAGCTTATTTTGCAATTCCAAAATTATTTAGCAAATGTATTTATTGGAGAAGAAATAGACTGTCATTTGAAATTACTTCCTCAATCTATCATTTTATTTAATCTTATCGAGATGAGATAATTTTTATACAATGCGAAAAGTAATTTATCCCTTAGATTACTCTTAATTCCTCTTCGATTATCTCGAAAGTTTTTTCATTAAATCAAAATCTTTTGATTACTTTCTAAATCGTCTTTTAGCCTACTTTATCTTTTACTTTCAACGCTTATTTTCGCTAAAATAAATTAAGGATTAACCATTCTTTTGTCACCGCAGCTCTTAAATTCCTTATTAAGTTAGATTAAAGCTTCATATTATCGTGGCATGTTTGTCTTTCGAGGGGTGGAGGGTGGGGGGGAGGGGGGGAAAGTCAGATTCGTTTTGTTTATTTAATCCAAAAGAGAAAAAAGTGTGTTTTAAAAATTTCAAATTTGGTCATCCCATTAATCATTCTGTCGATTGCAATAAAGGATAAAATAAAGAAAAATACATTATGTGATCAGACTTAATGAGCAGACTTTATAAATTAGATGGATATTTATAAATAATTAAATTGATAAGAATAACCCGCAATGCAATTCAATATTTGCCAAAACACTCCCAAAACTAGGAAAGTCGTGTGATAAATGAATAGGTTTACTTCGAAAATAATGTAAATGATACTAAATGTGCGTATGTAAAGCCATTGGGTTTTAGTATCAAACTGCCACTCTGTTAGGTCAGAGGTCATAGTGATCAATATTTAAAGGTACATATGCAAGGGTTGGAATGAATGACCTATCATGTTAATAATTTTCCGTTTTAATAGCTGTAGAGAAGAATCTGAAATTCAATCTCAGATTGTGGCTTTAAGAATGTTTTGAAACTATCTAGCACAAAGTGAAAAAACATTGTTTTTATAGGCAAAAGTACTTTGGAGAGAAGTCCCGTGGTGCTTCCATGGTCCGATTTCGGCATTCGCCCCTCATAGAGATGCAAACGCAATTTAAAGATTGTGCCGGTTCCAAGGAAAAGGAATTCTTCCAACCGATATCAACTTCTGCAATAAGCAGCAGCGCAGCCCCAGGTGTTATTGTAACGACTACATTTAACCAACACGCCCCTCCAGCCTACAAACCTCTAATTTCAACCTCCACCACTGCTGCTCTTCAAATGGTAACTAAAAATGCGTCTCTTCTCGTTTATTTCTAGTAATAATCCGCGTAAAAGGCTAGTAATGCATCCAATACGGTTTTCTAATCTAAAAACAACTCAGAGTGCCAAGATATTTTAGATATTATGGAACGCATCAGTAGTCCTTTAGTTGACTTCGGACTACACAGAGGGAGGAACTTCAAAGTTAGAAAATTTGGAAGCGGAACAGAAGAGTGATTTGCAGATGTAAAAGAGACAGGCACAAAGGTGGAGAAAAGAGGTTAGATGAGCATTGTGATAGTGGTAGAATATGACACAAAACAGCTACGATTTCACAATAAAAAAGATAACGAATTCTCTAAAACAGAAGATGACAAGAGTGTGAAAAAGCATAATGAGAGCATGAAGGATGGACCAAGTTAGACGAAAGTTTCAATCTAAGGCGAGCATGGTAGAATAAAATACGTCTAGATTAAATTGGTGTGCCAGAAGACTAAAAGGAAATTAGGCGCTAAACCACGTTAGTCATTCTATTCAAGTCTGTTTATATTTACAATTTTTCCGTAGCGATATCAAATGATGACACTCAGTTTGAAGTTAACTGCGGTTATTGATTTTTTCATGATATAGGAGATTAATGCCGTAAGAATTAGCATTTGACTAAAAATGACTAGATGATCACGTTTCGCTTCTTAATTCGAGAAAAAGATGGGTCGGGTTTAATGCGTGAGCTAGTTAATCTTCCCCACATGACATTTTGAGTTTTTATAACTGCGTTTTCTAGGGGATTATGTGCTGCGTTGGCCCAACAACTCACTGATAAACCTTACCAGGGGGTTAAGGAGTTCAAATCATCTCAACATAACTTACAACCATACTAATAGTACCTATTTAAAAATGTATCTCATTGTGCAATTAAGGGTGTCAAGGTATGTACAATCGCTTACATCTACATGCCTAAAGGGATTTATTAAAAAATGTGTCAATAAAGTTGAGCAATTTATACACTTATCTCGATTTCACACCTGATAAATATTATGCTTCAAGGCTACGGGAACTATATCTGAATTGGGTGGAACCGATTTTAGTAAAATCGAATATCTAGACAGTGATCACATAAGCGATTTGAGTCAGCCTTACATTGAAAAAACAGGTAAGAAGGCCCACTTGAAGGCTTAAAAACTGTGCATTGAAATTCCACATCTTACAAGATCCCCAATTATGATTTTTAAGTTTGCCTATCTTCCAGATTTGATATTGGCAAACCCACCTTTTATGCGAGTTCTAATTTCCATTGAAATAAAAAATGTTCTTTCATTATGATTACTACCATTTAAAGCAGTAATGGTTAGCAACATCAAAGCAAATGATAAAAACTCTTGATGAAATTTTGAAGACGTGGGATGGGAGACGAACTGCAGCTAAAGGGTCTGTATGTACAGGCCACGATGATGTCTATTTGGGTCATGATGGAGGTCGCAGATGATGTGTGACAGGTAATCTATCCGTAAGAGTAGCATCAACCAGTAAAAGGGTTTGAGGGGAATTAAAGTTAAAAGTCTAATATGGGGCATTGCAAAGCCCCAAAATTCCTTAGAATGAATCATTTCCTTCAGTTCACTCTACTGCAGAAAATATAGGAAAATAAGGATAATAAAATTTTCAAAATGAAACAAAAAATAAAATCTGAAAGAGATTTTAGTAATTGAATTAATGAATATTTAGCCTATGAATAGCTCGTTGGCTTACATTCGTTTTCTCTTTCGAAGGACGAAAAGTCGGCGTGACAATACATTCACCATGCAAAGTGCAGTAGCTTAGAATAGCAGAACTCGAGGAACGTAATTAATGCAGGGTGTAATCTAATGAATCCTATTTAAGTTCTACATTTTTTTTTTATTCAGATTTTACTACCAACTTAACCAGCGTGAATAAGACACTTTGAAAAAATAATCGACTTTAACCTCAAATATTTGACTCGTGTTAAAGTTTTTACTGTTAATGCCGGAGTTGCTTTAGTCTTGTAAAATTCAATAAAACTATCTTTGTTAGCACTTTTTGTTGTCTTTTTTTTAAATCAAATTATATGTTTTTAAATATTATTTTATTCATTCCTAGAGGTTTCCATCAGTAAACCTATTTTTATTTACCCTTTGCTTTGCTAAACCGAATCAATTTATAAATTCCATTATATCTTCATATTTTTATTTTATAAAGCTTTTTAAATATAATCAGTTGTCTTCAAATTACCAAAGAGGAAAGCTTTCAAACAACATTTGGCTCAATTAAAAGCAATAAATCTGATAAAAATGGTACATTTAATGGAAGATTCATCTGCTATAAGTCTAAAAATTGTAAACGATTGCTGAACCGTCATGAATATTAATGCCAAATCACTATTTTACTTAGGTAAGATGCAAGCCTAACTATAAAGTAATTAATATTGCAAGTTATTAAAGAATATAAATATTTCAGTTAGTAACAATTTTTGCGACAAAATTTGCATTCACGTTTTCTAGATTAAGCTTTAATGTTTTAATCTACGTAAACCAAGTCATCTGGGTCTCTCACTAATTAAAATCTCTAACACTTTTAAGTCATTCTTTCCATAAGATAATTGATTTGTTTACGAGTTAAAAACCAACGAATTATTCAATTTTGGCACCTTTGAATCTTCAATACCTGACGTTTCTATCGATGTGTTAGACCAACCCCAATATTTAATCCTTCATCTCTCAATCCCCAATGTGGATGGCAAATAATTCACGAAACGATACTTCTATTTCTGTTTGGCAAACGTCTTTTAAAAATTCATTCTATTCCTCAAGAGAAAAAGTGCAACGTTGAAATTTCTTGATAAAGCCAATCTAAAATCACACTTGTAATATCATCCTATCGAAAATAGCTCAAACATTTATTGTAACTTCTATATACTTGAAATTAGGGGTGAACTAGCATTAATTGCAAAAATAAAAGGAAATGTTTAAATGCTGTTCAACATCGGCTGTAAATCATTCGAAAACATACATTAATTACCAGAAATATTGCCTTTCACTTTTAAAATTTAGATTTAAGTTCGTGTCATTCTCTACTCTATACAACTTGATATTAAATTATGATTTATCTCCATATATTTAAATTTTATGACCCCAATAGGGAAAAATTGTGAACTCTTGGTGTATTCAACACTTTTGTACTCAAGTAAATCTTAATTTAATGAAGCATGGTGGCGTTCATTTCACGTCTGTTTGATTTTTAAAAATCGACTTCAATGATACTTCTCCGCTTCTCAGAAAATTACACTCCCTTTTATTGCTAATCATTTTGCGAGAAATTAATAAATATGTTTCAATTGGGGGGGGTGGTTAAGTATTTAAAGATATGAATAGGACAAGCAAAAAAACGAAGTAGACCTACAGGAAGAAGCAAAATGTGGGCGATATTAGAAGATTTTATGTAAATGTGTCATCAGGGCAAGTTGATTTACCTGCTCAAAATATCCCCTAGCCATGAAATTTTGATTTCGGTGCATAATGAATGTTTAAAGTGAAAGGAATCTCCCACTGATACGAGGGTGAGTAAAAGAGTTCTCAGACAAATGTCATGACCTTTAATAAAACACAGATTTACACGTTCAGAGAGGTCTTTAGAGCTTACAAGATAACATACAACTGTCCGATCATTGTGTGTAGGGTGAGAATCAATACAGGAAGCATCTTAAAGTAGCAAGCCATTTTCAACCCCTCAAATGCCAACTTTTGGGATCAGAGCTAACATTACATTTTTAACGGAAATAAATGAGAAGTTGTTTAGATCATGGATGTTTTACATCATGTTTATGGGAACTCCGAAACATATATAGCGCAGTCATTTATGATTGGATTAAGCGCTTTTAAGAAGAGGGAAGAGTGCAATTTTATGATGACCCACGAGGAGGGTATAAACTGGCAATATCGAAGTAATCATGTGAATTCTTGATAGTATCGAATCTTTGCTTTAAATAGTGCTTTAGACGACTCGGGTAATTGGTAAACTTTTACATTAAAGATTTTGCCTTTTTAATTTTTCATGTTTTGAAAAGCATCATTGGATGAAAATATGAGGAAGAAAAGAAGAAACTTTTGGGCGAATTTGACCACCCAAAGAGTCCAAAGCTTAGTTGACGTGAGGTTCACATGATGCTGATCACATTAATCTGAGTAGGTGAATAAATTTTTCATGTTCCATCCATTTATCCTCTAATTTCGAGAACTGGCAAGTGCTTGAAAAAATAACATCTCTACTGAATGGAAGTGATAGAGATGTGGTAAATTTTGTTAGAAATGAGATTTATAAGGAAATATGGAATGTAGTCCATTATTGGTCGTATTTGTCGAATTTGTTTTTTCGCCACTTCAAAGAGTCGAAAAGCTCCAACCCTCCCAATGTTGCAGAAGTTTCGAAAAGCTGCGCCACCACCTCCGCCACCACATCTCTCAACCCCCATGGCAACCATTTTTCGCGATGAGGGAGACTTTTCTAAATCTGATTCATTTCACTTCCCCACCTCCACCGATGCAGGAAATCTGGAAGCTGGTCTTTGTGAACATCTCATCAAATCGCCTCCAACCATCAGCAGTTCAGGAATAGGTTCTTCAGGTGCTTCCGGTAAGTCATAGTTTTAGTTGTTTCTAATGGAATTCCAAAATAACAGGCAAATATCTAATGCATTTAGAGCCAGATCAATACACTAGTAATAAAATTAATCGTATTTTTTTTACAGGTATAATTAATTTCACCCACTTCTAACTGAGACAAAGTTAATGACAGTAAACCTGACATGGCTCAAACACCAATTACCATAAGCTCAGTTTCTCACTTCCAAATTCCCATCCGATTTCATTCAAAGTTAGAACAATGTAACTGAAAGCTTATATTTAAGTTTGATAAAAGAAGGATCTATCTTGGGTCTATTACAATGGCTTTAACGCATAAACAAATGAATATTTCTTGAGCATTTTCGGAGTTCTAAATTTGATACAGAGTACAGAGGTCACATCCAAATGAGGGACCGATTCAAACTCGTCCTTGTAAGCTCTGCAGATTACCCCATCTAATGTTGTGTGAAGCAGGAGATGCTGAGTAACGAATAAACTACCGTTATGATTTCGAATACCTTTATTTTTTGTTCAAATGTTTCAAATTTTCAAGATATTTGAACGTATTTGTTATTATTTGGAGCAACGTTATAAAAGTGATGACGTGAGTAAAAATTTTCATTGCTACGTATAAATAATCATTGGTAGGTGCTTTCGAGGGTGATTTTATCAGAGGCTAATTCAAATTTCAATATTTGTGTAACGATGACATCCTTGTCGTCTAAGAAGTCGGAGATACTACTAACCGAGTACAGTGTCCATTCTGGTTCGATATTTTCTCCCACTAATTTCGTCCCCAATTTTATTTCGGCACCCTCTTTATTTATGGTGAAATTTTATTCAGAGAAAATTTAATTTGAACACAAAGTTTCCATCTAACTCCTGATCATTTCGAAGTTTTGTAAGATAGTATTTGTAATTTTATGAAATTTACTTTGGTGTTTCGGCATTCAAAAAAATCTAAAAGCTTGGTAATCCAAAATTCTTACTCATAGTACAGTCAAAGCTCTTAGCTCCAAAATTTAAGCTGTCAGAAAAAAAATGATTTGTTCCACTCCCACTCCCCCTCCCCTCCCCACCTAGCCCTCATCAAAAGCCTCACCGACCGCCATGTTCCAGAAATTTGTTTCACTGCATCAGTAAAATTCTCTCTCTCGCATTCCACTGGAAATTTTTACTGCTCCCCCCTCCCCCTCCTCTCCAACTTCCTATTCGCCAACTTAATTTACCCTTGTTCACTAACTGCCATCGGTAATTGACAGTTAATAGCAACTATAAAGTAAAGTGAACTCAATAGGAAATCCTATAAGAACAAGTGAAAAGTAATACGTCAAAAGCAAATTAAATACTTATTGAGAAAATGACATGAAGTTAAGAGTAGGAAGAAGTCAGAGAGGTCGGGATCAATTGAACAGAAAAATATCTGAAATCATCTGATGTACCACCGCCCGTGGGAGGAACTGATCACTGATGATCGCCACGTAGAGTTGGAGCAGGGTCAGTAATACAACTGCTATTTATTGTATCATTAGTAGTAGATGAGGCATCTTGATCGGGAGGTATTGAAAGTGGTGGGGTGGCAAAATCGCAAACAATTAGCACCCTAATATTCAATACATACATACATACATTTATTTATTTATTTCAAATGGCAGGCGTTTTGATAGTTATCATTAGTACTTTAGCTGACTTTGGCCACACAGAAAGGAAGGAACATCAAATTGAAAAAAGTCGAGAGGGATGGGGGGAACAGAAGAGTGTCTTAAAGATGTAAAAGAGACAGACACAAAGGTAGAGTAAAGGTGAAGTGGGCACTGTGGTAGAAGTCGAATATGACATAGATTGGGGTGATGGTTGCTTGAAGGGAGAAGTCAACTGCCAGTTAATAGACTTTGTACCATATGAGAATACGTTGCCCAGGTTGCACCACACCCCATACTATTGTCATTAGCGGCTTTCAATTCTTTCATTAACATCGTGGCTTGTCTTAAGCATACTCTTTACAGATTCTCATTTAGACAAAGCTATCAATTTTCTATCTCTGAAACAATGGACGATTTTTAAAAGTTGTATATTCTGCACCGTTCTCCAAAAGAGAATGCTGATTGGAGGATAAATGACCCACATGCAAGACGTAAAATACAAGCCACGCAAGTGAGTCATGAGCACCCGAGAGAAAAAATGAACTCTTTTCTAACCGATTAACTAAACATGATAACAAAAAATCGATGCAGCTGCAGATCTCAAGTTGAATAGAGGTATAACCCGATTTCGCAAATAGGAGGCCTTAACTAACTAAAGAGTGTCAGATTGCAAATGTTAGCTTTAATCAGCTAATAAAATTTAAGCATTACAATTTAAGGTACCCTCTAGTAAAATAAGTGGATTAAAGTTAAATCACCTCAATGAATGAAAAGCTGCAATTTAAATATTTGTTAGATTTGAAAAGGTCAGAAAGACAGGGAAGTAATCATCGGATCAGACTCTGCTTTCTGGTTTGATAAAAGTGCACAGGCCTAAAAGGTTGACTAAAATTCAACCAGACAAAATTAGTCTTTTAACCAGGTCAAAGAGGATTAATCGATGGTGTTTAGGATCTACTCCTAATTGGGTTTGGCCGTGGGAGATCTAGACGATAGTTAGACTTCCATCATCGAATGTAGAAGAATATAATTGGTCAGACAGACAAATCGATGAATGACGGATGAATCATCATGCAGAGACCAATGAAGGATATGAAGTTGAAGTGACATGTCAATGATTTAGAATCGATTTTACATTTTCAGCTCAAAGTAATGAACCGCTGAACCACAAATGATAGTCTTTTTTACCTTTTCAGGATTGAACTCTTTGCCATTCACTTTCACCTGTTTGATCAATGTTAATTAATTTCCACACTTATAAAATAAATAAATAAATAGGCAACTTGATTTCGTACAACTCAGCGAGAAAAAAAACAGATAGCATAACAGACGCTTCTATTGAATACCAGAAAAAAATGGAAAAAAGGAATTGAAAAATAGTAAGATAGCAGTAATTACAGATTTGAAGTACAAGTCGCTTTAGTAACAGAAATAGTGCTAATCATAGATGGGATCCACCCACCAAAATCGACTATAACGACGCTGATAGCCGATAAAAAAGGACATAGGCCGCTGGAGTCTAAAATTGAAAGCAAAATTAATTAATTAATTAATGAAAAAAAAGAGAAAACAAATTTAAGAAGCACACACCTGGATTCTCGATGTCGGTAACTCGGCAACATGAGCATCGTCAAAAGTAAACCACTTTTTGTGCACCGAATCGAAACAGTAGGCAATGTCTAAATATATATAAAAAGACAAATTAAAACAAAAAAGGAAACGGCAAACAACACGTGACACCTCCAAGGTGGAAGATGCTTTCTAGAGCTTTACATCCAAATGGGATTTAATAGTCTGAGATACTGCACACTTGGGAAGTATTTCAAAGTGAAGGTTTTATCTCCTCATAAACAGGATTGGTCCTCTTTAGTGAACCTACCCTTACATTGCTACCATTTTGCTTCAGTTTACCACTTATTTCTCCATATTTCGTGATCCCTAATAACTCCAAATAAGGGGTGTGCGATAGACTTACCTCCACGTGGTGCACTCTGGGAGAAGTATACTCATACGGCAAAAAGTTGGTTTCTCACTTCCAACTACCATCACCCCACTGTATGTCATATCCGAATACTTCCCCAATACTCGCCTTACCCTACTCTCGTCCTTTGTGTCTGTCTCTTTTACATCTTTGAAATACTCTTCTGCCCCCCCCCTCAACTTTTTTCACTTTGATGTTCCTTCCCCTCTGTGAAGCCCGAAGCCAACTAAAGGGCTAATGATAACTATCAAAACGCCTGCCATTTGATATACTCCAAATAAACCTCCCACCATCTTGATACGTGGT